TCATCAGTACAGTTATGCCAGCTATCTATCTATCTATCTATCTATTTATCTATACACACACACAAATTTGATAACTTGATGAAATGGACTAATAGTTCCGTGAAAAACATGCAGGTAGGCTGGGGATATAGCTCAGTGGCACAGTGCCTGTCTGGCAAGTGTGAGGTTCTGAGTTTGATTCCTGGTACCAAAAAAAAAAAGCTACTAAAACTTATACAAGACGAAATAGTTTGAATAGACTTATGAGTATGAAAGAAATGAGGTTTTCTTTCTTTTTTTTGAGGCTGCTTTTTACTCTGTAATTCAGGCTGGCTTTGAGCTCATTATGTAGCCCAGGCTGTCCTCGAACTCATGGTGATCTTCCTGCCTCAGCTTACCAAGTGGTGAGATTACAGGTGTGTGCCAGCACACCCAGCAGTTTGTTTGTTTATTTATTTAATTTTGAGACAGGATCTTGCTATTTAGTTCAGGCTAGCCTTTAATTCACTGTGTAGTTCAGACAGGCCTTGAACTCAAGACAGTACTCCTACCTTAACCTCCCAAGTGCTGAGACTATAACACCACCACATCTGGCTATTAAAGAAATAATAATTTTCCAAGAAAGAAAGTACGAATTGCAGATGGTTCTGGTGCTGATTTCTACCATTGTTATGGCTTGTTTATAGAAGTCTCCCTATAGCCTCATGCGGTCATAGGTGGGGAGTTTCGAAGGCAACTGGATTAGGGTGTGATGCTGGGATTAAAGGTGTGGATAATTGGAGCCCCACCTGGGGTATGGGTGGCACCAATCAATAAGTTTGCAGACTGGATGGAATATAAAGGGACAGAAAGAAGCCAGGCTTGCTGCTACTGCTTCTGCTGCTTGCTGCTTGCTGCCTGCCATGCCATGAACTCTTTTTCCATGCCCCTCTGCCATGCCAGCCTGCCTTAGTGCCAGCCAACTATGGACTGAAACCTCTACAGACTGTGAGCTGAATAAACCTACCCTCCATTGACTCTGGGTGTTGGGTATTTGGTCTCAGTAATGAGAAAAGTAGCTAAGACACCACTTCTTTATGATCTCTTCCAGAAAACAGAAGCGAAAGGAAGACTTCCTAACTCATTCATTCTTTGAGGGAAACACTGTCCTCTAATCAAAGCCAGGAAAGATCTTACAAGAAAGGAAAGCTGAGGACCACTATAATTCATGTATATATATGCAAAAATGCTCAACAAAATGTAAGCAAATAAAACCCAATAATGTATCAAATTGTACAACATGACCAAGTTCAACCTATTCTAGGTATGTAAGACTAGTTCAACATTCAAAAATCAGTCAGTATATTTCACTACATTAATAGATGTAGAGAACAAAAGAGAAAAGAACAAAAGAACAAAATAATAAGATTTTATCATTTGATTTAGAAAAAGCATTTGATAAAATTCACTCTTTCTATTCACTATAAAGACTCAGAAAACTTCCTCAATTTACTAGAAAATCTACAAAAAGCTTACAACTAACACCATACCTGACGATGAGAAATCAGATCTTTCCTCCTGTGACTGGGAAAAAGATATATGTATCTGTTATCACCACTCTTATTCAATGTTATGTGGGAAGTTTTAGCTTGTGCAATAAGACAAGAAAATGAAAAAAAAGAATAAAGAAATAAAACCTTTTAGGCTGGGTGTGGTGGTATATGCTTCTAATCTCAACAGTTGGGAGACTGAGGCAGGAGGATTGTCCTGAGTTTGGGTCCAGCCTGAGCTACATAGTGAGTTCAAGTCCAGCCCGAACTACATAGTGAGACCTTGTCTCAGAAAAAAAAGAAATAAAACTTTTCATTCACAGAAAACTTCATTGTCATTGTCTATGTAGAAAATTCCAAAAATTTGACAAAAACAAAAGAAACAAAAGCAAACAAAGTAAAACTAAAAACAAACCACAGAATCTGTGGAATTAATTAGCAAGTATTGCAAGATTGCAGACTACAAGACTAAGATACATAATCCAATTGTTTTTATGCAGCGGTAAGAGACCTAGAATAACTCACATAATCCTAAAAAATAACAAAGTTAGAGGGCTCATAACACCTGATTTCATGACTCACTACAAAGCTACAGCAAGCAAGGCTATGGTATTGGTGAAAGAAAGAGAGCTCAGCAGTGGGATCATAGAAATGTAGTCAAAGTATCTTTGACGAAAAACAAAGCAATTCACTGGAAAAGGGAAAGCTTTTTTTAAACAAATAGTGCTGGATGTCCAATACAAAAAGAAAGAAGAGTCTAGATACATATCTTACATGTTTTAGAGAAATTAGCTCAGAATGGATCACAGATGTAAGTAATAAGTGCACAAATATCAAACTTCTAGAAAGAAACACTAGAGGAAATCTAAGCAATGTTCAATTTGACAGTAAGATAAGAGCTCAATTTAAAAATGAGCACAAGACCTGAACAGATATTTCACCAAAGAAGATACACTGATGTCAAACAAGCATATGAAAATGTGTTCAATGTTATTTATTAAAAATTAGTTTTTAGGAAGTTGCAACTTTGAATTACAGTGAGATATATATTTATTAGAATGACAAAAACCATGGCCAAAAATAAATAAATAAAACAGCTTCAAACAGAAGATATGAAACTATAGGAACTCTCACTCATGTGGCAGTGGTGTTGGCACATTGGAAGTTAGTTTGGTTGCTTCTTTCCTTTTTTTTTGAAAACAGTTTGGCATTTATTGAACAGATATGAAGATATACATATTCAACAATCCAGAAATTTTCTTAAATTTATATTCCAGAGACAGGACTGGGGATATAGCTCAGTGGCATAAGTGCCTGCCTGGCAAGTGCAAGGTCATGAGTTTGAT